TGCAGGGATGGGGCATCCACAACCTCCTTGGGCAACCTGTTCCAATGTGTCACCACCCTCTGAGTGAAAAACTTCCTCCTAATATCTAAACCTCCCCGTCTCAGTTTAAAACCATTCCCCCTTGTCCTATCACTATCCACACTCGTAAGCAGCTGTTCCCCTCCTGATTATAAGCTCCTTTCAAGTACTGAAGGCCACAATGAGGTCTCCCCAGAGCCTTCTGTTCTCCGGTCTAAACAAGCCCAGTTTCCTCAACCTTTCCTCATAGGAAAAGTGCTTCAGCCCTCTGATCATCTTAGTGGCTCTCAAATGCCTCATGAGGTTTGGATTTCACTGCTTTTGCATTTAATTAATGAAAAAAATGAAGAGTCTGAATTTCAGAGCCAGAAATATTTTGCTAATAGTATCAGGAAATGTTTTCACAACAGGGCTGTCAAATTGCCTGCTGATTTCAAGTACCATGATTTTTTTAAAAAGTAATATTTTTCTGACAGAATGTGTGAAATTTCACACTGCAGTTTAATATTAGTAATGAAATCACTTCTCTGCCAGACTGAAAAATAAATCTCGAACAGTGGAGTCACAAACTATCCTTGAGTACAGCTGTGTACTGTGAGTGCTGATGTTCTCTTGTTCAGTGTTGGTTCCCTAATGCTTGTTTTTCATAGCCTGCAGGTAGAAATGTATGCATCGCTAATCCTGATGTTACAGCAAATGCAAAACATTAAGGAGATTTTCAGACTTTTCAAAATAAATTGCTCTGTAATAATTTTGGTATTTGTTTTCTTCTGTGATGTCTTGGTATTATGATTTGCCTCGTTTGTGATAGCATGTATGGAAGCGAGGCTCAGTTGCTCAGCTGCAGTAGTTACAAGGTCAAATACTGAATTCACACTGGGGCTTCATCTCCTGGTCTATAGTGGCTTTTGAGAAGCTGCTTGTAGTTAGTAGTTCGCTCCTCAGGTACTCGCATTTATTGTTAATGCAGCAAGTAGTTAGGTAGGTATGTATCACTATGTAGGGCACTACTTGTTTATTCTTGCCTGTGCCCTCTCCCACTTCTCTGAGAACAAGAAAGCTCCAATCCTGCACCCTCTCTTGCTGCAGCATCCTCATCCCACTGCTCCTGTATGGTGCTTCCTGTCCATCTCACGTGTCTATGTTTGCAAGTGTGGAGCTCGCAAGATGCTTCTAGCACTGTGTAAAAGAGGCCCTCGAGCTGCTGTTCACAGAGGTAAGCTGCAGCTGAGTATCTGTGTAGTAGCTGTTTTTAAAAAGTAAAGCTTTGAAGTGCTTCAAATAACACAATGGTGTGTGTACCTTTTGATAAAAAGGATGTTCGATACAAATAGGAGAAAATACTGAAATATTAAGATAAGCAAATTTCGCCCTTATGAACAATGATTCCCAAGGGAGAAGTGACAGTGATCAAAGTTTACCAAAGCAAAACTACTTTCTCCCAGTTCATAATGGCTGAATAAACAAATATCCTTGATTAAAAAAGAAAGTGGGCAAAAGCACACTAGTGGCTGTTGGTGTTACTGCCCAGTTCTGAAGGAGATGAGTATATTGCAAAGCCCAGGTCAGCTCTGTGCCCTGTGATGAACATCAGTTCAAGTATGCCTGGGTCTTCTTCTTAACTGTTTTTATTTAGGCTGTGTTTTTTTTCCTCCTCTGGAAAATGAGGGCTGGATTTTGGTCAAGGGGAGTGGTCCATAATGGGGCAGAACATAATTCATCTCATGCCAAATACCAATACTTGATATCAAATATTGCTCTTGGGTACATTTATCATTCTAATTCTTCTATAATGTGGCAGGAAAAACAGTTGTGAATAATTGTTAGCAGAGAAAATCTGCAAACATTGGGAGCTGAAACAGCTCTTGGAGCTGTGTAACGAAACCCCAAAATGTTGGCAGTGTTTTGGACCTGGAAGGGAATTTTTTTGTTGGTAAACATTAGCAGTGGTTTCAGAATGGCGCATGTTCTTTTCACTCTGTGTGTGATACTGCATTACACTGCACATGTAAAATGTAATCTTTAAAAGCTGTGTTTTCACCTCTCTCCACCCAAACAGAATACCTTGTGGGGAATGCATAACTGATAAATTCTCATGCTGTGAATTTGAATTCCACATTTGACTGACTAGCAGTGACACCTTGGGTGATCAGTTTCTACTCCACAGTCACATTAAGCATTTCTAACGTGGAGGAAACATGCCAGGTGGCAGCCCTGTTGTTGGGCTTGCATTAGGTGGGTGCCTAGGATCCTCAGACCTAACAAAGTAGTTTAACACCACCCTTGAGTGCATCTCCTCTTAAACCCAAGTTCTTGTCCATTAGACTGCACTACCTATTTGGAAAGCCTTCAGACCAGCCCTGAGATGGGTACAGGTCAGAGCACAATACATGTTCCAACTCTTGTTCAAACCTGTTGCTTTGCAGCAAAGGTACAGGGAAAAGTGCTCAGGTGCTCACTGCTCTATGGTTACTAAGAAATATCTTCTGGGTTTTGCTTAGATAGACTAACATGGTTGATCTTCAGCTGCAAAAATGTCAGTTGCTGAAAAACTGTGAGTTGAAGATCTCACAGTTTTTTTTTTGTTTTTTTTTTTTGTTTTTTTTTTTGAAGGTCTGATTTCTGTTTGATCATTAAAACACTTAAGTATTTTTTTATTAAGTATTTCTTCCATTTAAGCTTCTTTGGTAATATAGTTTGATTCAAAGAGGGAGGATTAGATATGAGGTTCTTTATTAGGAATTTTTGTACAATGTAACTTCATATCCAATATACACAGAATATGTGATCTTGTGAGTGACTTCAACTTAGTCATTTATTCTGTAAGTTATTTCCCTTCCGTTAAATTGGTTGCATGCTTCCTTTCAGATGCTTAGACTCATCTGTGGGATATACTGAAGGATCTCAAAAGGATCCACTGAATGGTGATATGTTACTCTGACTTCATTGTTCCAAGTACTGAGATTTAGGCAAGTTGTTAACTTTAGTGTTATCAGTAAGTATAGGTGCTGCATCTGCAAGCATAAACTTGTCTTCTCTCAATCTATCCGAAAACCTTTCTGTTTTGGGTGCATCCAACTAGTTCAGGTTTTGTACTTGAAGATACTGTGTTGAATACCTTTATCAGTACATCTCCTTGGTGCAGAAGACATCTCAAGTTTATGCTAATAGATTTTGGAGAATCTACAAGATCAAATTACTTATGTAGCAGTAATATTTTATAACACGGTGAGATAGTTATTTCCTTGACTTGTTACCATTTTCAAGAATAAAGAACTGGTAGATAGTTCTGTACTGCCAGGTAGTATCATAACTGCTGCTGTACCAAGAGCAGCTATGCTATTCTAGCAGACTTATTGGATGGGAACAAATCATGGCATCTTTTGGAATAGTTAATGGCATAATAGTTGGCTTCTGAGACTACTGTAAATGGATTTTCTGTTGTAGGTGGTATGATTGGGTGTATTCTTAGTCTGTTTTATTGGTGGTTTGTCTAACGTAAAACTCTTGGGTCTCAATGAAAGCCTGTGTAAAATGAAAGACAAAATAAGAAGTTGTGAAATAATGGAAGTAGACTCTATATATGTTACGCCCTTACCAGAAGTGCTGAATGGGGAAAAAAAAAAATTACTCTGCAGTGCAGTAATGGCTTCTTTGCAGGCATGATTTCATTGTAACTATTAACCAAATTGAATTAACTCTTTCTCTTGATTCTTAGAGTGGTAGATGTATAAAGGGAAGGAGTTTCTTCTACAACTGACATTTGTGTAGGGGTAGTAGAACTTGAATCTGCAACTGATTCTACCCTGTCATACTTTCCCCTCCCCCACATCTTTTTCTGCAGTTCCATTTTATTCATCAGATGATTAGTACACATGAATAAGTTATGATAATAATATTCCTCACCATCTTTTATTTACCACCCACTAAATTATTAATCCAGTATCATTATTACTGGGTATTACTCATAATAGTCACGTCTAAAACATAAGAAGTCAAATTTTGTTTGACAGTCCCAGAACTATTGCATTTGTTAATTGCTTTAGCTTGCTTTATCAAAATTATGAGACTCAGACTAAGTTTTAAAATGTTATGTGACTATCTTGGATTTGAAGATCCCTGGCTAGCCAAATGTAGTGGTGCTACCAGTGGCCTAAGGAGGAGTAGGTCAGGGAAGGCTTACACTTGAGAAATCAACTGATGACTGTCGGTCACTGCGTTGGTTTTCACCTGAAACTTATTGCCCAGGTTCTCATCAGATAATAAGAAAAGTCTGCATTGCTGCAAAACAAATACTTCTGCCATTCTGTGAGTTATGGACTTTCTCGTTTTGATCCACTTCTGTTTTAAAGAGATAACAAAGTTGTATTGTAATCTGTAGATCCTCCATTCCTGGATGTGTTCAAGGCCAGGTTGAATGAGGCTCTGGGCAGCCTGGCCTTGTATCACATCTGGAGGTTGGCAGCCCTGCCTGTGGCAGGGAGGTTGGAGCGTGGTGATCCTTGAGGTCCCTTCCAACCCAAGCCATTCTATGATTCCTGGGCTCTATTTAAGGGGAGGGGGAATCAGATCAAAGAGAAGCCTTTGAACTTAGACTTTAATAAACTATGAAGTACTTAAATTCTATTTTTTTTTTCACATTATGGCAACATTTTTTTGTTTATTTAAATGATAAAGTAGTGGAAGGGCAGCATTTGAACAGACAGGTTTGTTTGTTCCTTCTCTCCACTGTTAGCAAGTAAGAATAATTCCTCTCTAGCTTCCTAGCCAAACAAGTGCAGCAGCAGAAGAGAGAAACCTCTTTATTTAAAAAAAAAAAAAAGCTGTGTCCACTGTCAGGGATTAGGTAAGGTGAGTCACTTAAAAAAACAATATAAGAAAAAAATCATCTATTACCCACCCAAAAACTTTTGGGACATGTAGCAGGACTATTTTTGAACTTTAAAAATTTGATGCAGAAAGTTGTAGCCCAATCCTGCATGTTTTGGTTTTTTTTTTTTTTTTTTTTTTTTTTTTTTTTTTTTTCCTATTGCATGGGGTTTGCAATTACTGTATGGAAATCTTACTGCTGTACACTGATGTGTATTAGACCTAAGGCACTGCATGTAAGGCATATAAAATGCTGATCTTGTGGCTGAATTTGAGAGGTCTTTTTCATAGAGACCTGCTTACTAGGAACCATTTTAGAAAGCAGCTGATCTGCTGCTTTCATAGACTGAAATAGACTTTTTATAGACTGATCATAGACTTTCATAGACTGATCATAGACTTTTCTGGACATGGATGTGAAAGGAGACAGCTTACAGCATGCATCTTTACAAAGCAGAAACATTGGTGGGACAGGAGGTTCGTGGTTTACTGTCAGAATAAGCAGATGTTTTCCTTTTTTTTCATCTCTTTGAACACCTCTGAAAAGTGAGTTATTTTTCCTCCAAGCAGATAGACTCCAATGAATTTGATTTTATAACCTTCACCTTTTATAGGCAAACTTGCTAAGCAGATCTGCTAAATAAAACAACTTGTGCTTGTGAGTATAACGAACACAGTAGTAAACAAGTGCACTTTTTGCCCTTATTAGTATGATGAATAATACTTCCTCACTTTCCTCCTTGAAGATTAAACACGCTTGCACAGGGTCCTCAATCAACTTTGAGAAAGCAACAGAACAGTAGGAATGAAGCCGGGCATTGCAGCTGCTCAGCCACACCTCTGTTCCTTTGTCAAGTGCTCTGAAGCCCACTGTGCATGCTGCAAGGTTTATTTATTGCACTTTTGCATTTGGTTCTTGCTCTCTTCCTTGCTGACCTCAAAATAAAATCCCGCTGTCTGTGTGGGAAACTGGTAGCCAGTAACACGCAACTGACTGACTGCTGCGTAAAAACATGAAGGTTGAAATGTAAAAGGCTCCTTTCTGTTAGAGTAAAGCACTGGTGACGTATTGAGGCATGAGAACAGCCCTACAACTAAGCTACTGCTCCAAAGCAGCAGATGTGGAGGCAGCAGTTAGTGGTTGCCACGTGATCATTTTCTGCATTAAAGTTAGAAGTCTCCCCTGTTAGTGCTTCTATCAGTGGGTCGCTGTAGCAAAGGTATGCAATAGGACCTGTACTGTACTTTCAGTTCAGGGACTGCTACTGCATTGGAACAGTGTGATTAAATCTAGGTGTTAAAATAGGCTGTTTGAAGAAGAAGTCTGTTTTAGAATATATGGGTAGTAATGACAGTGTAAAGCATCTCTGTTTTTTAACCATCTGTGGTGGGTCAACCTTGTCCAGCATCCAGACACCCAGTAGCTTACTCATCCCCCTCCAAGTGGGAAGGAGGAGAAAATGAGATGGAGAAATGCATAGGTTGATCTAAAGTGAGATCACTTAGCAATTATCATCACAGCAAAACATACTGGACTGAAAGAAAATTGTATTTTTGCCAATTGAAATCAGTTTGGATGTTGAGAAACAAAGGCAAAAAGTAAAACCTCCCCTCTTCCCTTCTTTCCAACTTCACTTCTTCATTCCTACCATTCTCCACAGTACAGGGCAGTGAAGAATCCAGGTCCTGGTGAGTCTGTAACAGCTGCTCTTTCCTCCACATGCTTTGCCCATGCTTTGGTGTGGGTCCTTTTCACGGGCTGTGGGGAAATCCCTGCTCCCGCATCTGGATCACCTCCTCCCCTCCTTTCTCTGCTGCCATGGTGTTTGCAGGATTGTTTCTTGCACTTCTTACAGCAGTGCTTGTGTGGTGTTTTGCCCTTTACGTACAATTTCCTGAAGCACTACCATGTTGGTTGCTGGGCTCAGTCATGCCTTGCGTTTTTAATCAGGAAATGGAAAGGTCAAATTAAACCAAGCATTGGATACCTCATTCCTTTTAGGGGTCATCACGTCATCACGTCTGTTTGGTCTCCTTTGACTATCACTGCATTACCTGCAGTGTCTGTAATGGGGCTCAGTACATGTGCTCCAGGACTGTGGAAATGTAAGAGTGCCTCAGTGCAGAGTGTTTTATCATAGAAAGGCAGTGTATGTTATGCTAGATAATGGAGAGCAGTGTTCAGATAAGCAGTGAAATAATATAAATGCAGCTTTGTTCTTAAAGAGATTAAGGGATGTCTTCTATTAGAAAGGGCAGCTCCTTCTCCTACTCAATCTTTTAGATATTTTAAATGACCTATGGACTTCAGAGCTTTGAAACTCTATTTTTTGCCAGTTTTTGAACAGCAGCTAGAAAGAGTTTCCTAGCCATAGGCTTTTTACCTATATTCAGAGAAAACTTGCTCACAAAGCCTGTGAAGGTGCTGGGTAGCACTGGTGTGGGAAAACTTTTGATACTTGTAAATGAGCATTTGGAATTCTTTTACCTTTTATGGGCATGAGCTTTTAAGTAGACCCTGTAAAAAAAAAAAAAAAAAAAAAAAAAAAAAAAAAAAAGAAACACACATACACAAAAAAACATTAAAAAAACACACCACTATGATGATGTAGTATTATTTACAGCTGTAAGGCTGCAGAGAGACCTGATAGCAGCCCTTCAGTATCTAAAGGGAAGCTATAAGAAGGGGACAAACTCTGTATGAGGTCTTTTTGTCTTTTGTGATAGAACAAGGTGAAAGAGTTTCCATTTAAAATGGGAGATTTAGGCTTGATATAAGGAAAAAGTTTTTTATAATTAAAATGATCGAGTACTGGAACAGGTTGCCCAGAGAGGTGGTGTTTGTCCTGTCCCTGGAGACATCGAAGGTCAGGCTGGATGGGGCTCTGATTAACCTGATGGAGCTGTAGGTATCCCTGTTCATTGCAGGGGAGTTGAGCCAGATGACCTCTAAGGGTCCCTTCCAACTCAAATGATTCTGTGATTGTAGGAGGGACAAATATGGCAACAAACATTAGTGATGTGATATCCTGAGAAAATACCAGGGGAGATCTTTAGCATCACAGCTTCCAGGTGTGTCTCTTGCTTGTTGGCTCTGAGTTTAGCACCAACTGCTAAAGAAGGTTCTCATCTGGCAGAGGTTCTACCTTTCCTCTTGTCACTACTCATACAATTCTTTGTGCCAATTTCAGGCTTTGCCCTTGTGCTCCCTGCAAGCAAGGTGAAACAGACTGTTTTGCTTTTTGTTCATTAACATTTTGATAAATTCCTGGAGCGTGTGTGTGGCTTTAGCAGCTGGAGTTGCTTTGCTCTTCATCTCTTCCCCTAGCTAATTTCAGCCCACAAAATATCAGGATTTGCTCTGAAGGCAGAACTCTGCTTGGTTTGAGAGGATTGGTGCCATGTCAGTAACTACTTGCTTTTTGGGTATTACTGAGCCGTTAGCTGCATGTCAGCTTCCTGTCAGGTTCCTTCTGAGAACTGCAGAGCACAAAGTGGTGTATTCTTCCATGTTTTAACATAATAAGGGATTTGTAAAAGCTTAGTCTCACAAGAACAAAGTATGTGGTAGTTAAAAAGTCTTGGGATTTGACCGCTTCAATAGCTGCATGTCCTCTTTTCCCCCCTAAAAACCATGATAAATTAAGCCCTAATAAAGAAATCAAAGAACATGAATTAGAAGCAGTGGATGATAGCTTTCTCCATCAAGTATCCTCATCTGTTTTCCAAAGCCTTTTTCTAAAATTGGAGAAAATAGATATAGAAAATAGGGAAGCTTGCCACAGGTTATACAGAAAATTATAAAATAAGGAGTATTCTTATTAAATCCTCATGTAGTACGTAAGTCATCTTCTAAATATTTGTATGTGTTTTTGTTTGCTGGATTAACAATAGAGTATTCCATTAACTGGGTAAAAATTACGCATGGACTTTTATGTTAGAAGAGTGACAGCTCTGTTACTGTAGGCTTCCAGATTATGAAATGTGGTCATTTAAAGACTGTGGGGGGAAAATCCTGATTTTTGAGAGGAAGATGTGCATCCCTTAAGTTTTATTAAGGTGTAGCAATTTGTGAAGCGTATGTGTCATAAGCAGTTCTTAACTGCTTGGGAGTCTACAGCTGATAATTGCTGTAGCTATACGTTAACAATACAAGACTCCTAGGAAAAAAAAAAATTGCCTGCAAGGTGACTGTTTCTGGTAAAATAATTTTTACAGTCAGCTTATATTACAGCAGCATTACCTTACTTTAGTCTTTGTTTCCTGCCTATATTGATAGGCCCACAAAAAAACCCAAAATGTTAGCACTATTGTTCTTTACTTATATCTGAACTGTAAAGTCATCAAATATTTATCATTGGAAATAAGTCTTGTAACTCTTACATTTTGTACTGCGCTCTCATGTGTTACACCAGGATGTTATTATATGACATATTTGCTATTATCTAATGTGTCTCTTAGAAGTTCTGCCTTGAAATTGGCTTTCTGCTTACCTGGTTATCCACCTGAGCCAGACTGATTTCCAGAAGTGATGAGCACTCAGTCTTGATGCTTTAGGGAACTATTTGGAAGACTTGTTGTTCTTTGATCTGCGCTCGTACCTAAAACTTCAGGCCTGTTATAGCAGAATTTGTTCTGTGTTCCCGTAATTAGCTGAGCTTGCAGGGAACACTTTTTTGTAAGCTCTTATTTTAGCGTGTTCTTAACATTAACTGATTTCTAATGGGTGCTTGAAGTACTTTCCTCTTGTGAAGTTAGTACGAAAAAGGGCACAAGTTTGAATTTGCTGTTGGGTAGTATTTTTTACAATACATGAGAAAATGCTGTTGAGCCTTGTGATTTCCTTGTGGCAACTCTGTTCTTCTGAATTCCCTATCCAGGAGGCTGTGGTCAGCCTCAGGCATAATTTCAATTAGACTAACAATTATTATGAGGCTGCTACTAATGGAAAGTAATACTGTCTCAATTATTACATGCTGGTGAGTGATTTGAATAGTTCTTCATATGTAATGCATCTTTGAAGCAGTCACATAGGCTGAGCAAAGACTGAGATAAACAGGAGGCTCTTGGCATAGAATAGGTCCTTTCATACCTTTTCACTACTTGGGAAAAGTAAGCATGTGTAAAAACAGAAATCATAGATCAAACAGAAATGAAATCTCAGCTCTGCACAGTGTGTAGTAGAGGCAGTAGAAGCTCACTTACCATCATCTCATATACTCTTCAAAAAGCCTGTAGTAGTTTTACTGTGATATAAAATTAACCATCCAAGACTGAGCTAGTCATGCCCAATGTTCCCATGAAGGGAAACAAGATGTAAAAATCATTTTACAAGAATTGAACTGTCTGAGTAGAGCAGCCTCACCCAGGCCAGTGTCAACTCTGACTGCTCTTGTATACCACTTAAAAATGTTTTATATACCAAGCACTTTGTTTGGAAGAACAGACGTGTTTGCTTACATTTTTATATTGCTTTTACTTACAGTTTGTCATTGCATTAATATACATCATAATCCTTTTACAGTGGCCTCCTCACACAAAAAATAATCTAACATGTGTCAGCCTGATTCCTCTTTATCTAAAGATATGAAAATGCTAATATATTGAGCTTTACTCACTTCTGTTCATGTTACAGCTACAAATCCATACAAACTAAATTCCATCTTAGTCTTTGAATTTAGTTGACCTTCTTAAATGAACTGGACATTTTTCACATTTTGCTGACTAGTTGGCTTCATGTGAATTTCTGAACATTTGTAGTTTTAATAATGCTTTTTTGATAAGCCATGAATCATTTACTCCTGCTCCACTGTAAAACTCAGTTTTGAAGCATGTGAGACTGTTCTGCATATGATTGAAAAATGTCCTGACAGAATAAATCTAACTAGTGTTGCATGTTTCTGTCATGTTTAGAATAAACTTCAAGGTGGAAATGGTTATTGTATCTCTCTACAGTTCATCAATATCTACTGTATGGAAAAGTATGAAATTGTTTTAGAAGGTCTTACAGGTGACACAGCATGTGAAAGAAGGTATGCATGCCACTTCCCCCTCCCCTCCTCCCTTCCCCCCCACAAGAGACTTGGAGAGTAAGATGTATCTTGTCTTCCTAGAGATGATGAGCAGATATATAATGAAATGTGCTTACCCTCATTGAGACAAGTGGCATACGTACTTGCTTGATTTGCAAAACAAGTTTCAGCCTTGACTTCAGAGAGAACAGGACATCCAGACATAATCAAGAATAAATTCCATTGTAGATAATTCCCAGATAGGGGAAACTCCCCTGGGAGAGAGAGGGTAGATGAGGAGAAGGGGGAGGAATGTAGTTTACTCCTTCAGGGAGCTTATTTTTCTATTCCCATCAGTAGCCTCATGTTTACTGCTAACTCTCCTCAGCAAATTGAGTTGCAGTTGCAGAAAGTATTTCATAATCTGAACTGTCTTTAGTTTAAAAAAAAAAAAAGTAATAAATTAGTTTCAGCTGCAGAATGGTGTAACAGGATAAAATGAGTTCTAAAATCAGTTCTAAGAGGAAACTCTTTTTAAGAAAGAATAACTCTCGCTCCTGCTTCTTAAACTTGAAGTTACTTAAAGCCCACTCTTGCTTTGATTACAGCTGAGCATGAGAAGTTATATCCTAGCTGAAATGATTTAAGAAACTCCTGTGGTGTTCTGAAGCAAATGGGATTTTCATTATCCTTTAAAATAACTTGCTGTCGTAAGAATTCTGTGAGGTCAGTGGTGAAAGTACTCTTCCCTTCTCATTCATCCCTGTGTGAGTCCTAAAGTGAGCATTTAGATTAGAGGTTAGAAACAGCCATAGCACAGAAATTGCTCTGTTATGTCTAAATACATTTTCACCAAACCCTAGACACTGGGTCTCTGCTGCCCTTCCCCTGTACATGCAAGGAGTATACCTTCATGCATAGGTACCCAAGTAGGATTTGCTAATAATACTAGGAAGATGGAGATGCTGGCAGAAGTAGTGAAGCCATGTGGGCTTCCAGATTCCAGAAATCCTTGGAATATTTATGGTCTTACTGCTAGGATGAGATAAAGCCTTTCTTTCTGTGAATGCTGTTAGCAGTATTAGCTCTGTAAGTTCACAGAATCATAGAGTAGCTTGCATAGCTAGAAGGGACCTCAAAACCCACACAGTTCCAACCCCCCTGCCATGGGCAGGGCTGCCACCCACCAGCTCAGGTTGTCCAGGGCCCCATCCAACCTGGCCTTGAACACCTCCAGAGATGTGACATTCACAGCTTTTCTGGGCAGCTGTGCCAGGGCCTCACCACCCTCTGAGTCAAAATTTCCCTCCTAACATCTAAGCTAAATTTCCACTGTTTTAATTTAACACTGTTTAGTTCCAGCTGACATCTTTGTCTGACCTGCATAGACAGGAGCCAGTCCCAGCTGCTGGTTCCCTGAATCTTTCACTTACCAGGAGCTGGTGGATGGACTATCTTACAGTTTATGCTGTCGGGTAGTTGCTAGCTTAGAAATAACTGCCATGCCTACTGAAGTGAGAAAACAAAGATTAGTTGGGAGCACTGAGACAAGGAGTATCTATCAGCAGCAATTAGTGATGCATTGCAAACGTTCTTTTACCTGAGGTAAAATGTTTGCTTAAAAACAAAGCCTCCTGCCCCACCGCATGTTTTCAGCTCCCTTCCATCTGTCTTGGTTCTCTGTATTGATTGCATATTGTGTTCTCTGCCTTATATGGTAACTGCCTGCCTTCATGCCCTTTGCCTACAGTTTTACAGAGCTTAGTATAACAACCAAACCAAAACAACTGTTTCATAAGCTTTCTGGGAATATATGCAGATGCAGTCTCCTGGGTCTTTTTCCCCTTAGATTGCTCATTTTGTGTATCACTGTTGGTGCAGCAATCTTGCTTTACTGTTTTTTTTTACTTCTTTGACTGGCGTCAGAGCTTTCTGGGAAATCATCTCCATTTCTATTACCCCTGAGTCCTATGAGCTGTGCTCTTTTGATTTTTTTATTTTATTTTATTTTTTACTATTGATGGCAACTCTGTAGCTATTTTGGAATTCCTCTGCATAAAAAAAATAAAATAGTGCTTCCAGCTATTAAATCTGAGATACTCTCGTACATTCAGCTGTCGGGATTTAATTTTGAATACCTTATCTAACTGTATTCTTTTCATAGCTAATATAAGCTTCTGATGAAATCATAGTATTATAACAGCTAGAGATTGACAAGATTAGACTCGTGACTCCCAGCGAGAGTAGGGCTGGGTGTTTTGGGGCGTGCTAGCTATGCCTTTGGGCATAGTGTTAGTGCTTTTTCTATCCCCACCAGTCAGGTAAAGCAGTGATTCAAGAATTGGATTCGGGGAGTGGTGCTGGAGGAAACCAGGTTAAGTGAGTTCTTCCTGCTCCACCAGGTACCTTCAGCTCCAAGCAGCTGAGAATTCAGCATCTGGATCAACAGGGCTTCCTGAGGCTCTTTTATTCCTTGTATTTATTGTAGGGTCATTTGCTGGTCATTATCTGGAAAAATGATTGCATTGCTGTTTGCTTAGGTGTTTTATAGTCTTGTAAGATAAAGTAGTTCCTCTTGTAAGGTGTGAGATTTCCATGCCAGCTGGAACTTGCACAAGTGGATGCTTCTAAACTGCTAGAAAAGTAACGAACATTACTTGACAGGAGTAGAGAAGCTGCTGAAAAGCTGTTACAATCCATGTTTTTTCTCCCATGTGCACACTGGCTGATAAATACTGGTTTATCTTTCACAGTTTCTTAGTGAATGCCCCTTCTAGCAAAGGAGTCTTCAGAAGTTTCAAAAAAACTTTTGTAAAAGTTTGTAATCTTACTGTACTTTCATTACTGCAGTTAGAACTTTCTGGGAAAACATCAAGTTGGAAAAGACATAACTCTTGGGTTTCTGATGATTGGGTTGGATGATCTTTGGTGTCTTTTCCAACCTTAATGATTCTATGTTTTTGTGTCATTAAGGAATTTCCAGCATTGTTAAGGAGTTTTGTTGCAGTTATTGCAGTACCTGATCATGCCCTGGGTTACAGCCAATTCTCTTAGAATGGAATCTCATTTTCCCTCATTCCCTCATTTTCCATCTCCTGGAGTTCACGATGAATTAATAAACACATAGCGACGGCGTCTTCAGTGATAGAAGGGCAGCAGCTGTTCTAACAAATGAGTTGTAAATGTCATGTTGCCTCCATGGAGGTCAGATGCAGGTGGTTTTCAATGAAATGTGGGCTCATAGTCGTTTTAGGAGTTGTGGTTGAGGAGCACTAAAACCTTGATCTCTCAATTAGGGAAAAGCCACTTTACCAGGGTGTGCTAATTTCTTAGTATGTGAGTTCATGTTTTTAAAGTTAAAATCTTGAGAATTTGTCTAAGTTTACTGAATTAAAAAAAAAATCTGGCTTAAACATCATATATGGAGCACTTACTTGTCTTAGTACTCGCACCTTAAAGCTAGAAGGAAATTCCTTATCTTCCAATCTGCATTTGAGGACTTGCCATAAATGGGCAAAATGCTTCAATGAGCTTTTTTTTTTTTTTTTAAAAGGAAATGAATCACAGAATGGTCCAGGTTGGGAGGGACCTCAAGGATCATGAATCTCCAACCCCCTGCCACAAACAGGGCCACCAACATCCCTATTTAGTACTAGACCAGGCTGCCCAGGGCCCCATCCAATCTGGCCTTGTACACGTCTAGGGATGGGGCATCCACAACCTTTCTGGGCAGCCTGTTCCATCACTTCATCACTCTCATACTAAAGAACCTCCTCCCTCAACTTAAAATCATTTCCCCTTGTCCTGCTGTTATCCACCCTTTCAAAGAGTTCATTCCCCTCCTGTTTGTAGGCTCCCTTTAGGTACTGAGAAACTGCAATGAGGTCACCCTGCAGCCTTCTTTTCTCCAGGCTGAACAAGCCCAGCTCCCTCAGCCTGTCTTTGTAGGGGAGGTGCTCCAGTCCCCTGATCATCTTTGTGGCTCTCCTCTGGACCCTCTCCAACAGCTCTCTGTCTTTCTTATACTAGGAGCTCCAGACCTGGATGCGTTGTTCCAGATGGGGCCTCACAAGAGCAGAGTAGAGGGGGACAATCACCTCCCTGTCCCTGCTGGCCACCCCTCTTCTGATGGAGCCCAGGATATCATTTGCTTTCCAAGCTGCAAGAGCACACTGCTGGCTCATGTTAAGCTTTACATCCATCAAGATCCCCCTCAGGTCCTTCTCTCAAGGACTGCTCCTTCTAGTCTGTACGGATGCCTGGGAATCCTCCAGCCCAAGTGCAAAACCTTGCACTTTGTGCTGAACCTCGTTAGATTCACCCAGGCCCACCTTTGAAGTCCATTGAGGTCCCTCTGAATGGAATCTCTTCCTTCCACCGTGTCAACTGCACCTCTCAGCTTGGTGTCATTACAGACTTGCTGAGGGTGCACTCAGTTCTGTCATTGATGTCACTGATAATGTAGGGAATGTGTTAATTGCTTGAGAAGTCCACACGACCATCTTACACAGTAAGCTCCTTTAATAATAGGGCGTTAAAAAATTTCAGAGATCTAAAGAGCGACATTGTCTTTAGTAAATCTTTCTAAAAAATGAAATGCCGAGTGAAGTTCACAGCACTGTTTTGAACTTCATATTTCTTTTCTGAATTTGTGCTTTCATACTTGAGGAAAACATGGGATGAAGCAGTGGGAAAGTTCAAGATGAATGGATGTTGCAAGCATGCTGTAAAAGGCACTCAAGGCCAGGCTGGACGTGGCTCAGGACAACCTGGTCTAGAGGTTGGTGACCCTCCCACATAACAGGGGGGTTGAAACTAGATGATCACTGTGGTCCTTTTCAACCCAGGCCATTCTGTGATTTGTATAATCAATGAATATTAAGATGTTATCATTACAAAATAAACAAGAGAGTTAGGCAAAGCAGGTTATGATAACAAAAAGAGAATAGATAGAAAGCTTACCCGTATCCTAGGCTCACTTACAAAACTCCAGCAAAGCGGATCTCCAGACGAGATCCTTTCCCACTGGTAGCCAGCTCTTAAATAGGTCTAGGAGAGGTGGAGCCAGGCTCCACCCCTTCTGGCAGCACAGGTGAATTGCCTTCACCTGTACTCCTGTGGCTGACTCATGGCTTGCCTTGGGTGATTAATCAGAGGTTCAGGCCATGACCCAGCAGTTCCCATACAGTGGTTCTATGACTACATCCTGAACTTGGAAACAAGCCTGAGAATACTTGTGTACACTTACAGTATGTTACTGGTAGATTAATTGGGGCTTACTGTTTTACATGTTCTAAGGAAGAACATGCAAAACTTCAGACAGTTGTGTTTATCTGTACTGATACTTCTGCGGATTGCAAAGTATTCAAGCAGTGTGTATGTGAGCTGTCTCTGAAAGGTGGAAAAGCAGAAGTTTGATTGGCTTAAACTTAGGAGCAAAATACCATATGTACCTTCCTCACGGAAAACAATGTTCCTGTTGCACTGCCATCCATTCAGTTCTTTGATATAGCTTGGTGCAGTGCGAGCATGGAAGCATAAAAAAAGGCATCCGTTGTCTACTGAGGCATCCAAACAATCTTGTACCTCTTACACATTCTTTCCTGTTAAGTAACTTGATCCACCTTCTATCATTATACTGCTTATTTAAATTTGGATACTTGGCACAGAGCATCTTGTGTGCATGTCGTGCACAGAATGCGTTAGGTGATCTGTGAGTTTCCAGCAGCGCATTAGGTAACATGGCAGGTTCTCCAAGTGAAAGTTGTGCAGTTTTTGTAGGCTTTTCTATCTGGTGAATGCACTGAGACCAAACAGGGCAAGTAGTTCTTGGGTTGATCTCAAGTAAGATTTATTTTGACTAATGATTTTTTTTTCTATTTAATTTTTATCTTGCCTATCAAAATATCTCGCTCCTTTTAGACTGGTATAATGATCTTCAGGTCTGCCTTCAGCAGGAATGTGTTGTGTCCTAAAAATGTATCATAAGTTTGAATAGCAGAGTAAAACAAGTGCATTGCTTCATAGTAATCCTTTAGAATGATCTGGGTTGAAAAGGACCACAATGATCATCTATTTTCAACCCCCTTGCTACGTGCAGGGTTGCAAACCACTAGACCAGGCTGCCCAGAGCCACATCCAGTCTGGCCTTGAATGCCTCCAGGGATGGGGATTTACAACCTCCTTGAGCAATCTGTTCCAGTGTGTAGTAACAAACCTAACTGGGTTCTGAACGGAGACCTAGAAAACAGAATAGACCAGGCAAATAGGTAAACTGTGTCTCCTGTAAGCAGAACTTTACTGAGTGTAATCCTGAAAGGGTTTTTTTGGCTTATTCGTTGTGTTTTGCCGTAGGCTTTGGCATGAACAGCAGAAGTGTGGAAGCACCAGCTGCTAGAATGAGTGTCAGCTAGAAGCTTCAGAAGCTGTTTTTGGTGGCTCCTTCTTTGCCAGAGCCCATGTTCTGTTCTCCTTGCTACTGGCTTTGTTTTATGTTAGCGCAGACTTGCAGCAGAATGATCCAGACTTGATGGAAGAAGTTTATTGCTGGCTGCTGAGAGCGTGACTTGATGTTCTGTAAGCTGGTTTTTGGGGTTGTTTTTTTTTTTTTTGAAGTACATACACTAAATGCAGATGGGTTGCAGAAATGCTGAGCAGTTCTGTTATTCTTTTCCTTTGCAATAGCATTTCTCTTGATTGCAAATCCTCATTTCAGTAAAACTAAAGATGTTGGTAGTCCTTTAGTACTAAATCAATTGAAGGACACAAATTCTTCTGTTCCAGTTTCTAAATATCTGACATAAAGCCCACAAATCGATTGTGTGACTGCCTACATTGAATCACTCTGAAGTTGGTCTTTTTATCTCTTTATGAGAAAGATGCATTTTTAATAGCGAGCACTTGAGCAGCATTGTCCTCAGTGTGCGATGCAGCAGACTGCAGCAGAGGTAGGAGTGCAGAAGGGCTGTGTGATCAGTACGGTATTGCCTGGATGGGTCTAAAAGCATTTGTATCAGGGGAGCTAGCAGTTACAGCGGTTTGTTTCCTGTCTTTCTGGGTTGAGAAGAGTTATTGATATATAGGCTTCAGCTGGCATTTGGGTGTGTTTTTATGTGAGATTAAGAACCTTTCTTCAGTGTGGAATGCCCGATACGCAGCAGGATATGATACGTGGCTTATTTGTTTTAGCCTGTGCTTTGCTGCAGCAGCTGGCTTCTGCTCTCCCATCTTGTGGCTGTGCAGCTTAACCCTATCTGAAATGGGAGTAATGTCTGTCTGATTCCTGTAAAAATTTGCTCATTTTTGTGGTTTCTAGTCAATGGATGTTGAACTTTGAATAATGAACAAAACATTGAGTATGGAATTCTGGGACAGCATTTTGCTTCTCTTTGTTCCTCTCTGCTTTCTGTTTGTTTTCAAATAAGCACAGATCACCAGTGGGACTGCAGCTATTCAAATAGAGGCAGCTCCCAGTCCCAAGCCAGGAAGCGCTTGGCCCCCGAAGCGTAACGTCTGCTGCGCTGCCAGGCTGCAAGCTGAGCAGTAGATGTGCTCAGCGCTGCCAGATGACCACCAGCCCCTGCCGAGTGTAGATCTTCTCAACTCTCACTGATAGCAGGAATCTGCTGCTGAGTGTTTGTGCTCTCTGCACCAAGGTTCGGTGACAGCTTTGCCTGAACATGCCTCTGCTCCTGAGCTGGAGCCCATGCCGTAAGGTAATTACTACATGTGGGGCATTTGCTTCTCTCCTTTCCAAGTGTGCTGGTAAGATCTGATGCTAATGGGAACCGGGCGGTGGAGTGAGAAAGGCAGAGTGGCTCTGTGTGTAATCTCCTTACTAGAACTGCTGTCATTAGGCAGCCAGAGTTATTAGACTTATTTGTCAGATTAGTCCTTCATATTGATGGCTTTAAGCCTTGTGCTAAGAAGAGAGGCTCTGCTTTGTTCCTGAATTCCAGACAGAAATTAGCAGAGATCAGAAACAACTAGAAAAGTTGTGGCATAATGAAATCCTCTGTAGCTCTGGATGTGAAACTATCCAGCAAGTGCATTTTGCTTTTTTTGTGATATTCATAGAGTTAAAATGTTGCTTTTGCTTAAAATGGAGAGTGTTAATTACTGCTGTCTGAATGAATGATGACTCTCCAGCAAAAAGGTGAGCTCCACCTTTGTTTGGTGGAGGCTGCTGTAAATTCAAGGAATGTTTATTTTTTTTAGCGCTCTGACTTCTGTCACTGCTATTCAAGAAAGCGTGTGGTATCTCCATGGAGATACTCTGCCTGGAATTGTGACAAAAAAAAAAGCATGGAGGAGAACTGCTGCATGCATGATTTAGTAGACTTGATGTACTCTCTATTTTACAACTTCTAGCTATAAGTGGTAAGCACCTTATCGTTAAGTTTCTTGTTCTTTCTAAAGCAAGGTTGATAAAACTGGATGTTATTAAAGCAAAAATCTCATTGCGTGACACAAGAATTTCTAAGAAAGTTTCAGTTTGATGTTAAATATTTTCATGTGGTCTTCCTTTGCTGACTTTGTTGTTAATTAAGTCAGATGAAAGAAACTTGCATTAGAGCTGTCAGGTTAAATGATGTCCCTCCCCATCATGAAAGTACATTTCTGTATTGAACACAGTTATGCTTCCTGATGTATAGTACAACTTACTCTTACTGTATTTGTATGTACTTTGTACAGTTTATACATGAGGAAGGTGTTTGTTCTTCTTATGTAACCCTCTTGCAGGTGTGGTGTGATTTAACCTGCTCATCTTCATGCAGCTGTATGTTCACTCCCCACCATTGGGATGGGGGAGAGAATTAAAATAAAAGATAAAACTCATGGGTTGATTATGAAGACAGTTTTTGGACAGAAAAGGGAGGGAAAATAATAGTAATAAAATAATAAAAATAATAATGACAGTAAAATAGTAATGATAAAAGAGTATGCAAAGCAAATGATGTGCAGTGCAATTGCTCATCACCAGCCAACCATTGCCCAGCCATTCCCTGAGCAGCAGCAACCCCCCCTGAATCAGCTCCCTCAGTTTTATTGTTCAGCACAGCACCATATGGTGTAAGATATTCCTTTGGCCACTTTGGGTCTGCTGTCCTGGTTCTTTCTCCCCATCTCCTTTTGAGGATCTGAAAAGTGCTTGACTTAATGTAAGCACCACTTAGCACCAATAAAAAATGCTGGTGCATTATCAACATTAGTCTCATCTTAAAACGAATAAACAGCACTGTTATCAGCTACTAGGAAGAAAGTATCTCAGCTGAAACAAGAACATGTAGTCACAAAGGACAGGATTGGATGGAGACTCTGAACTGCAGAGCTGAAATCAGCAGATCTAGAATATATTCATATACTTTTTTTTTTTTCTTTTTTTTTTTCCCCTCCAAGGTTAAGTGCTGCAGCATTAATCTTAACTAGCTGGACAAATAGGTTAAGCACCACAGTAGTTCATAATGTTTGTATGACCAAAATTGTGGGTTGCCAAGTGCAAATGGAATAGCTTGGAGGTCCATGTGGCTGAAGTTGTTGCTTTTTTTTTAGTTTCAGCTTACCAAAGCCCTACAGTTCACTGGAAAGAGTGTAATGCCTATCACATTTTATTTCTTATGTTCAGAGCTGAATCTTATTGTAGATGGTGCAGAACTTGACTAGTGAGATCCATTCCGATTTGAGCACAGCTGATGTTCCTTATTGGATCAACGCACTGAATCAGATCTAACTGGGTAAAGTGATTCATACAACGCTAGGCTATTCAAATATGCATGATAACTGATTTAGATTCCCAAGAGGCTTTTTCCTTAATTAGACTTATCAGAGGCATCATGTTTCCTTAGAGTGAAATATTGTCTCGTTAAAGTTGTTGTAAAGTTATTCTTACTTTCCTCTCACCTTTGGACATTTTATTTTTGTGAAACTAAGTTTTGGAGGCAATTCTCTTCGCGCTGAGGATTTTTGGTATAGGCCCTGAAGAAAGACCACTGCTCTTTTGAGTTCTTGAGTTCTCTTGGCTCTTACACATTGCTGAACAATTGCTCTCAACTGTTAGCCTTGGATAACATCTCAATAATTCCACACAGTTACTGAGATTTAGAAGGAGTAGCTATGAACACGATTTCAAGAGTATTAAAGTTGAAGTACCACTTTTGTCTCTGGTAAATGTGTACATCTCTCAGCATTCTGGAAGGGAGCAAAGCTCATCTGAAGCCCACACATCCTTTTTGTGTGGCTGTCCTCAATTATTTTGTCCTCCACCTTGTGTTGGTAGTGGGAGACAAGCCATGTGTAAGACCTTGACTTTGTTGAGCCTCAAGAGATTCCCCTGGGCACACTGCTTGAGCCTATGTAGGTCTCTCTGAATGGCATCCTGTCCTTTGAGAATGTTGACTGTACCACGCAGCTTGGTGTCACCTGCAAACTTGGTGAGGATGCACTCAATCCCACTGTTGATGTCACCGATGAGCATCTATCTCAGCAGCGATCCCTTAAAGATACTGCTTGTCACTGATCTCCATCCAGACATTGAGTCATTGACCACCACTCTTTGAGTACGATCTCACAACCAGTTCCTCATCCACTGAACAGTCCACCTATCAAATTCATGTCTTTCCAATTTGGGGAGAAAAATGTTATGGAGGACTGTATCAAAGGCCTTACTGAAGTCCAGGTAAATGACATTACAGGATCAGAATGGTTTGAGTCAGAAGGGAGCTTTAAAGGCCACAGGGTCCAACCTCTCCGCAATGAACAGGGACATGAGAGCTCCCATCTCTGGCTCTTCCCTTGTCCACTGCTGCAATTACATCAATATTGACTACATAGAAAACTAGGTTGGTCAGGCAGGACTTGACCTTGGTGAAGCCATAGCGGATGTCCCATATCACCTCCTTCTCCTCTGTACACCTTAGCATAGGTTCCAGGAGGATCTGTTTTATGCTTCCCTGGCTCCGAGGAGAGGCTGACAGGATGGTAGTTCCCTGGGTCATCCTTTCTACCTTTTGTAAAAATGTGTGTTACAGTAATAATGTGACAGTGCACTTCTCATCAAAAATCTAAGGAAATTTAATGAGTGATAAATATAGGCATGTCCTGTATTACACTTTCGGTTCCTCCTGGTTTGACAGCAACTGTCCCAGAAAAGTGCCATAGAACTATCAGCTCATACTTTTTCACCTGAGAAGCCCTCTATGACTCCCTTTGGAATGTAGTCATCTGCTTTTCTGCTTAGCAGTATTGGGTGATGAGACATGAGAGAATTAATTCTCCTTACAGAATTCCAGCACTCTCTCCACTGGATTTGTTAGGGCTGAAAGTATGCCTCTGCAAATACACTGCCTATCTTCCTTTGCCAGTCTCCTTGCTTGAAGTAACTTTCTTTGAAGTTTCGTGATAAAAATTCAGAATACACAAGGTAAATTGCTCGTTTAAATACTTTAAGCATTTATTTCCTTTCAGTGTAGCTGAATGAAAAAAATTGCTTAACTTTTTTTGCTCTACTGTAACTGACTGCCAGCGTTTATGTCCAGGAAGATATGAAGTGTCCATATTTGTTTAAATAATAAGCATTCCGTTTCTCCCCTTTAGCTGCTTAATTTCATGAGACCACTGTAGGAAAGTATTAGAAGTTTGAAACACTTCAGTAAGTTTTGGGACCAGATGGGCTTCATCCTAGGGTGCTGAGGGAGTTGGCGGGGGTGCTGGCTTAGCACCTGGTTGACTGGAGAGGTTCCAGAGAATTGGAGGCTTACCGATGTGACTCCCATCTACAAGAAGGGCTGTAAGGAGGATCCAGGAAACTACAGGCCTGTCAGCCTGACGTCAGTGCCAGGGAAGGTCATGGAACAAATCCTCTTGGGAGAGATCTCACGGCTCGTGCACCACATCCATGGGATCAGGCCCAGCCAGCATGGGTTCATGAAAGGCAGGTCGTGTTTGACCAACCTCATCTCCTTCTACGACTGGGTGGCCAGACTGGTAGATGAGGGAAAGGCTGTTGATGTAGTCTACCTAGACTTCAGCAAAGCCTTTGACACGGTCTCTCACTGTATCCTTCTGCAGAAACTGGCTGCCTGTGGCCTGGACAGTTTTACCCTCGGTTGGATAAGGAACTGGCTGGATGGCTGTGCTCAACGGGTGGTGGTCAATGGAGTGAAGTCTAGCTGGAGACCTGTTTCAAGTGGTGTCCCCCAGGGTTCGGTGCTGGGGCCCATTCTGTTTAATATCTTCACTGACGACTTAGATGAAGGGATTGAGTGTACCCTGAGTAAGGTTGCCAATGACACCAAGCTGGGAGGTGGTGTCGATCTGCCTGAGAGTAGGGACGCCCTGCAGAGGGATCTAGATAAGCTGGAACGCTGGGCCAAGGTGAATGGGATGAGGTTTAACAAGGCCAAGTGTCGGGTCCTGCACTTTGGCCACAACAACCCCATGCAGCGCTACAGGCTTGGTGATGAGTAGTTGGATGACTGTGAAGAGGAAAGGGACCTGGGGGTGTTGGTTGATGCTCGGCTGAACATGAGCCGACAGTGTGCCCAGGTGGCCAAGAGGGCCAACGGCATCCTGGCCTGCATTAGAAATAGTGTGGCCAGCAGGAGCAGGGAGGTGATCATCGCCCTGTACTCAGCACAGGTGAGGCCGCACCTTGAGTACTGTGTTCAGTTTTGGGCCCCTCACAAAGGAAAGACATTGAGGCGCTGGAATGTGTCCAGACAAGGGCAATGAAACTGGTGAGGGGTCTGGAGCACAAGTCTTATGAGGAGCGGCTGAGGGAGCTGGGATTGTTGAGTCTGGAGAAGAGGAGGCTCAGGGGAGACCTGATTGCATTCTACAACTTCCTGAAGGGAGGTTGTGATGAAAAAGGTTCTGGCCTCTTCTCCCAGGCTAATAGTAGGACCCGAGGAAATGGCCAGAAGTTGTACCAGAGGAGGTTTAGGTTGGACATTAGGAGAAACTTTTTCTCTCAGAGAATGGTCAGGCACTGGAATGGCTGCCCAGGGACGGGGTGGAGTCACCGTCCCTGGCAGTGTTCAAGAGGCGCCTGGATGAGGAGCTACGAGATACGGTTTAGTAGCTTGTGGTACTGGGAATGGGAGGGTGGGTGGACTAGATGATCTTGCAGGTTTTTTCCAACCTTGCGATTCTATGATTCTATGATTTTGTATGTTTCCCTAGCCTAGTTATTCTTAATGCTACTAAACTGACTTCTAAAAATATTTAAGGAGATTTGTCCCATTAATTCACTATTTTTAATCTCCATTCGGCTTACTCATTTGTCTAACTTTGCTGTGCAATTTCAATGTGAACTACTAATGAGCTAATATTCAAATCCAAAAAAAGTTACACAACTTTGGTGTAATTGTGATGGTGACTAGGGCTTCTTGCAAAAAGAAAAAAAGTCAAAAAAAGAGAAAAACTGTCTCTTGGAAGATGAATCAGCATGGATGCTTTGAGAGATGTCTGCCTCCAGCTGAACTGACATAGATTGCAGGCTAGTGCACAATGGGCAATGGTAAAGCAGTCTGCCAGTGAGAATGAATAAAGATTAAATACAGCCTACTGTCTGCACTGTATCAAGACTAACTTTTGGCCTCATTGAAAACCAAGATGATGATGATGTCTGTAAGGACAAAAGCTAAAGGTCAGTAGATCATAGAGTAATTGGAATAATTTTGCAACAAATGAAGTGGAAGGAGATTCACGTTTGAATGCCCAATGGAGGAGGGGTGTGTAATGGGAGATGGTGATTGAGACCAAGTAATTTTCCACCATGAGTTGCAAAAGTGTTGGCGTACAAGATCACTGCCTAATTAGCATGTTTCAGATTGCATCATGACTGGAATAAAGCAACCCTGTAGGAAGCAAAGTTTATTTTCTAAGTTGTGGTTTCAGAATTACATTTTCTCTTTTTATTTTTCTTTATTTCTTTTGGAAAAAAAAAAAAAAAAAAAAGTTATACAAGTACTAAGAAGCTATATGAAATACAACATTCACTACTGATTGATTGCATTGGATAGGTAACCACAGAGAATTGATGTCTCTTGCAAGGAAAGTATTACAGATAGCCTCCCTGCATCTCATTGTAACTCACATCCTTCCAAATATATGTGCCATTTGTTATCCTTCTGGAAAAGATGAGAGCTGCTGACAAAGAGGCTGGGTTTATCCAGAGGTGGATACTGTTGAAAGAAGTAAAATCACTTGATGAGCTGTCGGTAGACTTACATGAATCTTGGTTGTTTTTCAGTGAAGGCCAAAAAAAAAAAAAAAAAGGGGAGGGGGATCTTGTACATTAAGTATGCTGATACTGAAGGCAGATGTTCTTTAAGGTGACTGGGATGATGGAGGTAGAACTTAAAAGGCTGGGTGATACAGGGCTGAAATTAAGAACTTCTGCTATAGTGATATGCAGTTTGGCCTTATACGGATATAGTAGGAACCTGTAGGCAAAAACAGTGGAGGAGAAGAGAGATGTAAGTGTTCTGTGATGACTGAGACAGCAGGAAAGTGAAACATTAATGCTCTCATAAGGCTGCAGAACAGAGAAGGCAGTATTAGTAAAAGGAAAAAAGAAGTAGATGCAGACATCTGTCAGTAGACTTTAAGCTCATTGATTTGGTAGTTTAAAACCTTATATTCTGAAACAGATTCCTGTGAAAAATATTAGAAATTATTTGCTCCGCTTCAGAAATAGTCTGTACAGAATTTTGAATTTGCTTTTATTTTGACAGCCAAGTAGTAGGGGCACTCTCTTGAATAACTCATGGGAATATTTACAGTAACAGCCATTTTTTCTTTATCTGTGCTCTCTTTTGTGCCTGCTAAAGAGACCTTTTAAACTGTCCTTTAGGTTCCTGATGTCATCAGCAGCATAAGACAAGTCTCCAAAGCAGCATTGAAAGAAGATGCCAAACCAAGTAAGGATAGCGAAGATGCTTTCTATAACTCTCAGAAATTTGAGGTCTTGTACTGTGGGAAGGTTACAGTGGCTCACAAGAAAGCTCCCTCATCATTAATTGATGATTGCATTGAGAAATTCAGCCTTCATGAGCGTCAGCGCCTGAAACTACTCAATGAACAGCGGAATAACGAGTCAAATTTGGACTTAGCTCTGTGTGAAGGAAATGCACCAGCTTCTCCATTGGATAGTCCATTTGAGGAGCTGGAAAGTCCAAATACCCCCACAGGGCATGCTGTGATGTTTACAATTGGCAGCCAGAACAATTTGACCAACCTGGCCAGCACTCGTAGCTCCTTTCCAGAGCGAATTTTGGAGGACTCTGGCTTTGATGAGCAGCAGGAATTTCGTTCCCGGTGCAGCAGTGTCACTGCAGTTATGCAAAGAAGGGTTCATGATGCAAACCTGAAGCCACGCAGAAGACATGCAAGTGCACCCAGTCATGTTCAGCCTTCTGATTCTGAGAAGAACAGGACAATGTTATTTCAGGTGTGTCCTAGGAGTTTGTCACTTGTCCAGTGTGAAGCTGAGACAAGTCTTGTAAGATTAGTATGTGTCCGGTGTGGTTTCATGATTTCTCAGAAATATTTATTCATAAATAATTGGAATAAAAGCAACTGGGTTTGCTTTTATTCCAAAAGGCAGTCAGCACTATTCACGAGCCCAGATAGATTCTTAAAGAAAAAGAAACTATCTGTGCTCAACAAAAGCTGAGTTTCTGAGGACAGATTTGAGTATTTCATATGTAATTCTGGTTGAGATTTGATGAGATGCTGGTGAGATCTGGGGCTCAGTTGAAAAAAAAAAGTATTTTATTCAAAAAGATAATCCGTGACAATTTCATTATAAATATATCCTGTTTTGTTGTCACTGTTCAATTAAAAAGAAGCTCCTATATTTGCAGCCGTATGCTTGAGCCAGCTCCTTTATGATAAATTGTGCTGATGTTAAACTTGTCTTTCCCAGATAAGTAATATTTCTACTTGCACTGAGGCCTTCTTGTTTCCAGCCTTTGTACAACCAATGAATGTACGGATGTTATAGCTATGAGGTATATCAGAGAGCTTGTCTCCATAGCTATTACACCAAAGCAGAAAAGATAGGATGCTTACCCATATCCTGGGCTCACTTACAAAATTCCAGCAGAGCAGATCTCCAGAAGAGATCCTTTCCCACTGGTAGACAGCTCTTAAGTAGGTCTAGGAGATGTGGATCCAGGCTCCACCTCTTCCAGCAACACAGGTGAATTGCCTTCACCTGTGCTCCTGTGGCTGACTCATTTCTCGCCTTACGTGATCAA